TTGCTTCCAGCGGCCGCGGGAAGCAACTTCGACTACATGTTTTTCACTTTACACTTACTTCTAAACATTTCCTTCACTGCCTGTCCTATTTCTCTACCCCCAAAAACTCTATAACCACCGCTATTGCAGGACAAATTGCTGGGACTAGGGATATATGAAGGGGCCTGCATAAGCTACTTTTGCCGCCACTTCTTTCGGTATTTTGATAAAATTTACATATCTACACATTTGTTGTCAGTAAAATGTATGCACCAAATCTTGTTCCTTGTGTACAGCTGGCCCATGTCCTCTTGTAGAATCTGGGTATCCCTTCCGTTTTTATGTCCCTCCACCCTTTGAGGTCGTCTGCAAGGAGTAGTATGTCTGATTTAACCTTCTATACGAGCTCATCAACGTGAAGGAGGAGGGGGGAGCGGCCCAAAAAAATGGACAGTTGTAGACTCCACTTTTTACAGGCGCCTATCACGAACAGTAGCCACTAGTATTATTTTTTTCTGCGATCTTTTAAGAAATCTTGAGTGCTATTCAGGAGACTTGCTGTTATCTTTAAGTGTGACGACTTTCAGATGAGGCTGCCAACCAACTTCTATGATTGCACCTGGATATAAACCTCAGTCCCTTTTTCGTCGTTCAACTCCAGTACTTTTCCTAGAAACAGCTGACGCCGAAATGTCCTTTCTCTTATCTCTTTTGCCGCAGCCGGAGAATTTACCTGCCTCACTGCATGAGCTATATCGCCTTATTGACCTGGCCAAGTTCAGTGTAAGCAGGCAGCATGGGAAAAGACTTGAAAAACAATCCAAACTGCACACGTTTCTCCCTGAAGTCCTCAAGACCTGCAGAGCAGCCTTCTGTACACAACCACCGACGAAACCTCCACCGGCCTCTACTTCCTTGTGGGTTCTAGTCCATCAGCTGGCTATGCTGAGTCAGCCCTCCCAATTGGACCCTGCTCAGCCACCTGCGTTTCTTAAAAGTACGTTCGTACAGGCACCTGTTTTCTTTCGTTGGTATTGTGCGCGTCCCGTAACGAACCTATGAACGCCCATCCAACACTGTTAATATTCCTGATCGACACTACAGGACAGCAAACTTTTGGAGCAGTTTTTAGAACGAGAATTTATTCTACTACAGCAACCTTGTTAGCTAACATGGTTGCTGCAGTAGGATCGATTCTCAGCCAAACAGAGACGACGGTCGAAATGCAAAAGTGTTTAGGACGTTGGAGTTCTAACTACCAGGTCAGCGGTTCAAGCCCATAGTCTTGCAACGCCGGGGTTTGGTATGGCTAATGTTTATCAGCCTATAATACTAGCCGCTGTGTGGCTGCTGGTAGACCCCGAGAGTGAGCCTCAAGACACATAAAGACGAGCGTGTGCCGAATTCGATCGGTTAATGCACCTCCACCATTGTGTTTCGCAACTGCCAATTTAGATGCTATTTTGGGTCGGTAATGGTGGATTGACAGGCCATGTTCTGCCAAACGTTGACGTGAACACTCAGGCCCTGTGCTATCATGGCCCAAACATGTCGTACTGGTGTCTCTCATCTGTTTCTATCAGACGAAACTGGTAAGTCACATACGTTGAAGGTCGCAAACTCTCTGAGCATATTCAACCTGCCCCTCTCCGTCCAATTTTAACACAATTCTTCTCCCTCTTCTCCCCCCCCCTCCCCCAGTGGCACCGTTCTTGTCCAGCTACTCTGTAGTGGACAGCAAACCATATGCCTTGAGTGGGACGTTGAATGCGTTACATCGTGATCTCCTGGACTTTTGCTCATCTTTCCTCGACTTTGCCGAGTTTTTCGGACTTGGCACTGATGACCTCCGGACAAAATGCGCAACATATAAGGCTACCATAAAGCCGTCTGCTCCGTTTGACCGCTTTTGCCAAGCAGTGGATAATTTCAAAGTCAAGGTAGCTTTTACTAGACAGAAGTGTCTGTTTGCCGTCTGGTTAGCCGC